TCCCCAAGGGGGTCATGCCCTACTCTGCTCATCCCAGTAGTGAGTATTATAATGAGAGTGTGCAGACACCCTCATGACTGTTAGGATAATTAAAATAAAGAATGTCCTACACTGTTTTAAACTGAGAATATGGAGAGAGACTATAAAGAGGAAAACAAGGAGTTGTTGTTTTTGTTTAATAACCTTGAGTGTAGAGGTTTACTTTGTATCCCCTCAAATCGCACCAGGAAGACAGGATATATTGTGTTACCATGGAGCATAGAAGAAGCTGCACTTACAGTTAGCAAAGCCCTAGTCAGTGAACGCAACTTCTTCTCAAAGAGATCTTTCATTGGACACACTCTTCCCTTTCACTAGGCCCACTCTATACTGAATGATAGTAAGAGAATGGTGTTAAACTAAAGGAGGAGATGGCTAACAGCTGGGGAGAGTTAAAAATGAACTCCCAGTGAGCAGAAGACATAAGTGATACAGAAACTGTTTTACTTCAGTTTTATACCTTTCAATTTACTAGTCATGTAAATAAACAGAGAAAAGGCAGATCAGCTCAATAATGAGAGAGACTTCATATTACTTGAACTTTTTAAATCAAAAATATCAGGACAATTAAGTCATATTTCTTGATTCATTTAAAATCAGCAGCCTCAGATTACAGAGTCTGATCAAAAAGTAGTGTTCGCTGTGAAAAACTAAACTATACATACCCCCCCGTCATAACTTGTTCTTTTCTGCTGTACTTTTCAGTGCTGTAAGTATGGGGGCCATGTATGTCTTCATTTACCCTGTAACCCCAGTACTTTGAATAGTGACTGGTGCGTAGTAGGTGTTCAAAAAATATGTTAAGTGAATTAATGCTCCATTACTGTGGTTTCACCTGGATCACGAGACTGATTAAAGTTATATTAGAAACGGCATTCAAAAGAGGCAAGATGGAATCACTTTTCTCTTAATGCATAAATTAGATTATTAACAGCTGAGAGGGAAAAGCCTTAGACTGGGGCAGGGGAAAGGAAATAAAAAGTTAAGAGTATGCTTTTCTTAAATTTCTTAAGTTCTTTCCACTGATCTCAAAGCAATACACAAAAATTGAAACCTAATTGTTCTGATATCTCTAAAGTGAGACAAATTTTAGCACAGAGATAGGAAGAATTAAGTGTCCAAGTAGAGATGAAGGAGCCCTAGGAACACAATGGTTAAAGCATTAAGCTGCTAATCAACCAAAAGGTCAGCATTTCAAATCCATCAGCCACTCTGTGGGAGAAAAGTGTAACTGTCTGATTCCACAGAGATTTACAGGCTTGGAAACCCTGCGGGGCAGTTCTGTCCTCTAGGGTCACTATGAATCAGAATCTAGTCCAAAGCAATAGGTTTGGTTTTAGTTTAATTTATTTTACAATTACACAGCACTATATGAATAGAAGGAGCTCTGGTAGTATAGTGGTTACAAATCGGGCTGCTAGGCTCAGGATCAGCAGTTCGAAACTACCAGCTGTCCAGTGGGAGTAAGATGAGGCTTTCTGCTCCAGTAAAAATTTACAGCCTCGAAAATCCTGTACAGGGTCACTATGAGTCAGAACCGACTCCATGCTACGTAACAACAACAATATGAATAGGGAAGGTAGACTCAAACTCCGTTAAGTGTCTTTCAGGCCCCTGCCTAATATCCTCTGGGTTTCCTGGTCAGTGTTCTGTGCTTGTCCTTTTTCTACTCGATTGAGTGAGGTCATAATTTCTATTCTATGTTTCTCTCCCTAAATAAGCACATGCTTTCTGCATGCTTTTCTGATAATTATGGAATTCAATGTTGACTCAGAGAATCTGAACAGGATAATTCAGGCCACTGTCTGCAGAAAGGACAAGCAGGAAAAAAATGCCATGTGAACACTCTTCAGGAATGTTACCCAGAGCAAAGTTTGCCATTTCTCAATAGTTTTAGAAGAGCATGAAAACCTAAAAGTGAATGTCTCTAAATAGGGTGAATTATCTCAGTTTCAAAAGCCTGGTTGATACTAAAACTTATTCAAGAAACTGTATTTTGCAATGATGTTTCATAATTTGTTTTCATATTTTCTGAACTTCAGAAGACTGTGTGATAAGTATAAAATCACAGCTTTTTCTCTTTGTTTGTGCCTGGTTGCTCCTTGTTTCACTATCTGAAAACTGGGAGTGATAAAACTAATTATACTTCTGGATCACACATTATGAATACCTCACTCAGTGAACCAGTCTAATTTATAATAGAATCCTGGAAAGGCAGAGCTAAAAGGGTCCTCTGAGATCTAGTCTAACACCCTTATATTTCACTTATGGAAGGCAAAGCTGAAAGAGATGTTGAAACTTGCTGTTTGACCTTGAATATGTATTTGGCAAGAAATAGATTTTTTAAATATTTCTATCTTAAAGAGACCTCATTCCTCAAACTTGCTGATGTCTGGGAATAAAAGAGGTTGCCTTACATATATTAATGCATCTTTAGGCATTATGCATGATGGGGCAATGAATCTAAAAAATAAACAAAAAGAATTAGCATTGCCCTAAACCTTACTTGTAAAGTAGAGGGTCAGGAAAAATGAAAGAAACCCTCAACAAGATGAAATGACACAATATCAGCAACAATGGACTCAAATATACCAGTGATCAAAACGATCACACAAGACCATCAATGTTTTGTTCCGTTATACACCATGAGTCTCAGCTAACTCTAGGGCACCTAACAGCAACAACAAAACTTAAGGGTTGCTGATGTCTGATGGATCTTGGCTGAAAGCAGAAAATACCAGAAAGATGTTTAACTGTGCTTTATTGACCACACAAAGGCTTTCGATTGTGTGGATCATGACTAACTATGGACAACATTGCAAAGTATGAGTTTTCTGGAACACTTAATTGTGCTCATAAGGAATCTGTACGTGGACCAAGAAGCAGTTGTTTGAACAGAACATGGTAACACTGAATAGTTTAAAATTAAGAAAGGTGTGCGACAAGGTTGTATTCTTTCACCATACTTATTCAACCTGTCTGATGAGCAAATAACCCAAGAAGCTGGGTTCTATGAAGAAAAACGTGGCATCAGGATTGGAGGAAGACTCATTAACAACCTGTGATATGCAGATGATACAACCTTGCTTGTTGAAAGTGAAGAGGACTTGAAACATTTACTGATGAAATCAAAGAGCACAGCCTTAGGTATGGATTACATCTCAATGTAAAAAAAACAAAATCCTTACCACTGGACCAATAAACAACATTCTTATCAACAGAGAAAAGATTGAAGTTGTCAAGGACTTCATTCTTCTTGAATCAACTATTAACTCTGACGGAAGCAGCAGTCAGGAAGTGAAACAACGTATGGCATTAGGCAAATCTGCTGCACAAGACCTTTTTAAAGTGTTGAAAAGCGAAGATGTCAGCTTGAGAACTAAGGTGCGCCTGACCCAAGCCATGGTATTTTCAATAACCTCATATGCATGCAAAGCTGGACAGTAAACAAGGAAGGCTGTAGAAGAATTGAAGCATTTGAGTTATGGTGTTGGAGGAGAATATTGAAAGTGCCATGGACTGCCAAAAGAACCAACAGCTCAGTGTTGGAAGAAGTGCAGCCAGAGTTCTCCTTGGAGGCCAGGATGGCCAAACTTCGTCTCTCATACTTTGGACATATTGTCAGGAGGGACCAATCGCTGGAGAAGGATATCATGTTTGGTAAGGTGGAAGGTCAGAGAAAAAGAGGAAGACCCCCAACGAGATGGATTGGCCAAGTGGCAGCATCGATGGAGTCAAGTGTGGCAACAGTAGTGAGGTTGGCCCAGGATCAGACAGTGTTTCATTCTGCTGTGCATAAGGTCGTTATGAGTCGGTACCGACTTGATGGCACCTAACAACAACAACAAAGGCTGACAGAAACAGGGATTTAGGGAACTGTTTTCCACTGGTTGCAATTCTAAATAGTGACTTATGAAATGGAAAGGCTTTCTTAGCAACATGTAACTATGGAAACAGAGGATGTGCGTATGTGCTGTAGAGCCTTCTAGCAGCTGCACTGAGCAGAGAGCACTGCTGCCAGTACCTACTGCAAGTCCACACCTGGTCAGGCCCACTCAATGACCTCTCAGGAGCTTTCCTCGTAGCAGCTTGCTCCTTGGACACTGGGTTCTCTGCCTAGCTGTGGGAATATAGTGCTGAAGGCAAAAGAATTTTTCACTCCTCCCCTGTCAGGAAAGCAAATAATAACAGAGATGAAAAAGTTTATTAAACATATCACAGGTAGTGATTTGTTTGTGGAATCCCCAGTTTCCTAGAAGTCTGCTTTACTAAAGTATTGTTAGGTGCCATCAAATGTGTTCTGACTCAGTGATCCTGTATAGGATTTCCAAGGAGATTCTGGTGGGTTTGAACCACAAACCTTGCAGTTAGCAGTCCAGTGCTTATCCTACAGCACCACAACAAAAACCAAATATTATGGGGCAATCTACCCTGTAACACATGGGGTCACAGACAGAACAGCAACTAACAACAAGATGTGACTCAGCGGGATTATCTGTGGTTTATCAGGAGCTCTGCATAGCAACTAAATATATTTTGTTGTTAAGTGCAGCTGACTCTGTTCCAACCAATAATAACCCTGTACAGGGTTTCCAAGGAGCAGCTGGTGAGCTTGAACCACCGACTTGCAGTTCAAACCAATTTTGTAGTCCAGTGCATTAATCCATAATGCAACATTTTAGACTACTAAAAATGAGAAAATCATAGATGAAAATCAGGTCCCTTTGAGGACAAGAGAAAGTTATAAAAAGGATTTTTGTGGATATAAAATAGAAAGTGTTGTAAGTACTGATTCTAAACCAAAAAATACTTTATACCCAAGGTATTACACATACGCATGATAGGACAGTGAAGCTAAAGAAAAAGAAAAGAACATTGCCTAAAACTTACTTGTAAGTGATATCTAAGAGAAATTCCCTCCCCTATCCCACCTCTCCCCTGGTCCTATGGTAGTAACTCACTGGGTAAGGCAGGGAGGTTTTCCTGTAACGGGCATCTTGTGATCGGTGGTGGTCCCCAGGTTTCCTCTTGTCTTCCTCTGTCCAGCTGTGACCCCAAAAGCTGCTCATCCATTTGGCAAAGGATACATCATCATCATCTTCATCTTTGTGCTCCATGTAAGGAGGATTCAAATTGCTGAAGGCTTGTTTCTAAATCTGGCAGAGAGAAATATCATCTAACAGACAAATTCAGAATGGCTCCCAAAAGACAAAACAAAAGTGGTATTTTCAAATGGTCTCTTTAAAGGAGAAAGATTTACTAAACAATCAGTTCATTATCAGCCTTGGGCAATGTCTATTTATAAATTGTGCAACCCACATTCCCTTCCCCCTTGTCTCATTAAATTGAGAAGCTTTGTAATCTTTCCATTACTAGGGCTTGTGCCTCGAAGCCTAAGGGTAGGAATGCAATTCACCACCTGCTTTTCTCTGTGCTTTGCTGTGGTGGCATCTCCAGCTATCAGTAGTGATGGAGCACAACACTCACATAGGCCTGTCACCTTGTGCCCAACTCTGGAATGGGGTTAGACTGATGGGAGCCAGCAAGGTGACTAGCTGCTGGCACATTCTATGCACAGGAAAGGTTTTCCAGAATTAGAAGTTCTCCTAACATATAAAATCAATATTCTTGTTACTACATGCTGACCAGTTGATTCTAAGTCATAGTGACCCTACAGGATGAAGTAGAGTTTCCAAGGCTGTAATTTTTACAGAAAGGTATCTGATGGTGCTATGGGATAACCTTTGGACTGCTAACTGCAAGGTCAGCAATTTAAACCCAATAGTTGCTTGTGGAAGAATGATGAGACTGTCTACTATAAAGATTTTGTCTCAGAAATCCTATAAAGGGTCACTATAAGTCAAAATTGATTTGAGGGCAATGGGTAATCTTTACAAGAGCAAGATCGCCAGGTCTTTTCTCCCATGCAGCTGCTGGTGGGTTGGAACTACTGAACATCCATTAGCAGCTGAGTGCTTAACCATCGTGCCACCAGGACCCCTAATAAAATTGATAGTGGTATAAATCTAGCTCCTAGGGTTAGATTTGTTGTTGTTGTTTTCCCTAAGTATTACTTACATAAAGCAATATGTATAAATATTAAGTGTCCCACTGCAAAGTCATTTGAACTGCAAGGTCGGTGATTCAAGCTCATCAACTGCTCCTTGGAAATCCTATACAGGGTCGCTATGGGTCAGAATTGACTCAACGGCACTTCACAACAACAATACCTTGATGGCCAAGTGACAGCATTGATGGACTCAAGTGTGGAAAAATAGTGAGGTCGGCCCAGGATTGGGCAGTGTTTCGTTCTGCTGTACATAAGGTTGCTATGAGTCGGTACCGACTTGATGGCACCTAACAACAACAACACCACCTTGATGAATTTTTATAAATGTATATCACTGAATAACAACTACCTAAATGAAGATCTACAACATTTCAGCATCCCAGAAGACTCCTTTTTCTCAATATAGTCTATACTCCCTCAAAAAGATATCCACTTTAGACCTCTGTTACCATAGATTCATTTAACTTATTTTTACCCTTCCTATTAATGGAATTCTACAACACAATCTACCATTCATCTGTCAGTTTGCAGTACTGTGGTGGTTCGCTGTTTCTGTGATTCTGGAATCTATGCCATTAGTATTTTAAATACCAACAATGTCAACTATGGTGGACAGGTTTCAAATGAGCTTCCAGACAAAGACAGACTAGGAAGAAGGAGAGATGGACTATTTCCGAATATTTAGTCACTGAAAATCTTATGAGGAGTAGATCTTTATCAGTTAGCACCACAGTATTGACCGTTAAACATGATGAAAAGCACCAGATATTGTCAGATATAGTTTCAGAAGTAGAGCCCCTCAGACACTCATAATACTACTGGGGAGCTGCTGCCTTCTCAAAGTAGAATTGACTGTGATGATGTGAACAGAATAAAGCTTTGGGGACTTTATTTGCAGATCAGGCACAGCTCAAAATGAAGAGAAACAGCTGAAAATATCCATTAATAATCTGAATGTGGAATGTACAAAATATGAATCTAGGAAAATTGGAAATTGTCAAAAATGAAATGGAACACATAAACATCAATATTCTAAGCATTAGTGAGCTAAAATGGACTGGTATTGGCCATTATGAATTTGACAAACACATGGTTTCCTATAACAGGAATGACAAATTGAAGAAGAATGGTGTCGCATTTGTCATCAAAAAGAACATATCAAGATCTGTCTTGAAGTATTATACTATCTGTGATAGGATACTATCCATACACCTACAAGAAGCCCAGTTAATATCACTATTACTCAAATTTATTCATCAACCACTAAAGTGATGACAAAATTGAAGAGTTCTATCAACTTCTTCAGTCTGAAATTGATCAAACATGCAGCCAGTATGTATTGATAATTACTGGTGATTGGAATGCAAAGGTTGGAAACAAAGAGGAAGGAAAATATGGCCTTGGCGCTAGAAATGATGCTGGAGATTGCACAGTAGAATTTTTCAAGACCAATGACTCCTTCATTGCAAATACCTTTGTTTAAAAAAAACATAAATGACATCTATACAAATAGACCTTATCAAAGGGAACACATATAAATCAAATTGACTACATCTGCGGAAAGAGACAGTGGAAAAGTTCCATATCATCAGCCAAAACAAGCCCAGGGTCAGAATGTGGAACAATCAATTGCTCATATGCAAGTTCAGGCTGAAGTTGAAGAAAATTTAAACAAGTCCATGAGAGCTAAATATGACCTTGAGCACATCCACCTGAATTTAGAGATATTATGAAGAACAGATTTGATGCATTAGATGCTAAAGACCAAAGATCTGAAGAGTTGTGGGATAACATCAAGAATGTCACACAGAAAGAAAGCAAAAGGTCATTAAGAAAAGAAAGAAGGAAATTACCAAAATGAATGTCAGAAGAGACTCTGAAACTTGCTCTTCAGCATAGAGACACTAAAAGATCTAAATAGAAAATTTTAAAGAGCAGCTGGAGAAGACAAAATCAAATATTATTAACAAAATGTGCAAAGACGTGGAGTTAGAAAACCAAAGGTAAATACGCTGAGCATTTCTCAAGCTGCGAGCACTGAACAAAAAAATTCAAGCCTCGATTTGCAATACTGAAAGATTCTATGGGCAAAATTTTGAATGATGCAAAATTTTGAATGATCAAAGAAGATGAAAGGAATACACAGTCATCATACCAAAAAGAAATGGTTGATGTTCAACCATTTCAAGATGTAGCATATGATTAAGAACCAATGATACTGGAGGAAGCAGTCCATGGTACACTGAAGGCATTGGCAAAGAAAAAGGCTCTGGGAATTGATGGAATACAAATTAAAATCTTTCAACAAACTGACAAAGTACTGGAAGCACTCACTCATTTATGCAAAGAAATTCGAAGACAGCTACCTGGCCATTTGACTGGAAGAGATTCATATTTGTGTCCATTCAAAGGGAGGTGACCCAACAGAATGTGCAAGTCATCAGACAATAACATTAATATCTCATACAAGTAAAGCTTTGCTAAAGATAATTCAAAAACGACCATAAGTGTACATTAACAGAGAACTTCCAGAGATTCAAGCTGGAGTCAGACAAGGACCTGGATTGAGGGATATCATCACTAATATCAGATGGATCTTGGTTGAAAGTAGAGAATACCAGAAATATGTTTACCTGTGCTTTATTGACTATGCAAAGGCAATTGTGTGGATCATGACAAGCTATGGACAACATTGTAGAGAATAAGTATTCTGAACACTTAATTGTGCTCATGAGGAACCTGTAAATAAACTAAGAGGCAGTTGTTTGAACTGAACAAGGGAACAGTCAATGGTTTAAAATTAGGTTTAAAATATACTAGAGTTGTATTCTTTTACCATATTTATTCAATCTTTCTTCTTATAATCCAAGAAGCTGGATTATAAGAAGAAAAATGTGGCATCAGGATTAGAGGAAGATTCATTAGGAACCTGCAATGTGCAGATGATACAACCTTGCTTGCTGAAAGTAAAAAGGACTTAAAACACTTACTGATGAAAATCAAAGAGCACAGTCTTCAGTATAGGTTGCAACTCAATGTAAAGAAGATTAAAATCTTCACTACTGGACCAGTAAACAGCATCCATATAAATGGAGAAAAGATTGAAGTTATCAAAGACTTCATTTTGTTGAGATCAACTATCAATACTCATGGAAGCAGCAGTCAAGAAATCAAACGACATAATTCATTGGACAAATCTGCTGTACAAGACCTCTTTAAAGTGTTCAAAAGCAAAGAAGTCAGTTTGAGTACTAAGTTGCACCTGACCCAAGCTGTGGTATTTTCTATTACTTCATGTGAAAGTTGGACAATGAATAAGGAAGACCATAGAAGAACTGATGCATTTGAGTTATAGTGTTGTGAGCTGATGTCAAGTCAATTTCAACTCATAGCAGTCCCAAGTAACAGAATAAACTGCCTTATGTTGTTGTTGATAAGTGCAATTGAGTTGGTTCCCATGCATAGTGACCCTGATAAGGTTTTAAAAGAATGGCTGATAGGTTTGAACCACTGGCCTTGAAGTTAGCAATCCAATGTTTTTCCTACAGCTCCACACCAGGACTCCAACCTGCCCTATAGATTTTCCTATCTGTGATCCTTACAGAAGCAGATCATCGCTTCTTTCTCCAACAGCGCTGCTGCTGCTGCTATTGTTGTTGAGAGCTATCGAGTCAGTTCCGACTCATAGTGACCCTGTATAGGGTTTCCGAAGAGTAGCTGGTGATTTTGAACTGCCAGCCTTGCAGTTCAAAATGACTTTACAGTCCAGTGCCTATCCTATAGCTTCACATAGGACTCCAACAGAGTTATTGGGTGGGTTCAATTTTCCAACCTTTCTATTAACAGCTGAGTGTTTAATTGGGGCCTCTGAAAGATGAGGCTTTCTACTCCCGTAAAAATTTACACCCTCGGAAACCCTGTACAGGGTCGCTATGGGTCGGAACCGACTTGATGGCACGTAACAACAACAACAACAACCAACATTGCAGGTCTGAGAAAATTCCGATTCAAATGTCAAAGATGAAATGACTGCTAAGCAATATGGTC